CTGAGTAGCGGCAGGATGTCCCAACAGTATACCCTGTGAGAGGGAGATTCAGGGACAGCTGCTATCCTAAGTTCTCCTTGGGCTGTACCCTGGACACAGGTCAATATCCTGCTGTCCCCTTCATGGTCTGCATCTTCACAGTTATTCCAAATGACCCCCCACCTCCCATAGTTAATGATGCTTCTGAAACACTTGCAATGGTCTTCACATGCCTCCTGGCTAATCTGCCTGTCTCCAGCGCCAGCTCTGCCAAACTGTCCCCACCCTGCTGCCCATGGTTGTTCTCTCACCTCCTCAAAACCCCGCCATAGCTCACCCTGCAGTAGCTCCTCTGTCACTGGGGGAGGCCTCTCCACTTGCCCAACCTTCTTCTCTGGTTTATCTTCACATGGACCCTCTGCTCCATCCTGACCAAAGCTATTCCTGCCCATGACTCCCTGCCTTGGCCCAGGTTGGTCTTCTTCCTGTAGTACCTTCCCTTCTCTTCCACAAACCAGCCCTCCTCATCTTTAGAGAATGGCATCCAACCAGAAGCCTTTCCTAATATTGCCCCCCCTGCCACCACTGGCGAGTTGGATGTGCCTCTCCCACCCCAGCATTCCCATAGCAACCACTGCTTCCATGTTATTCTTTGTTCCTTATGGTAACAGTTGGGGAATATGTTTGTCTTGTTATCAGACTAGGAACTTCTCCAACATGAGGATTAGGTCTTATTAATATCTGTATCTCCAGGGCTTAGCATAGTACCTATCTACCACATAGCCCCCGCACCCTCATTTCTCAGGGAATACTGGTTGAATGAATAAATGTCCTCATCACAGGAAGGATGTCTTCTGGCAGGAAGACAAAGGAAGGAATATGAAAGTGGACACCCCACACGGCCAGGCTCCTACATCCTTATTGCTTATCCTCTCATTCCACAACTCCAGGGTTTCTGGTTGTTACTGGGATTGCCAGCCTGAGTCTCCTTTCTGGGGTGTCAAGCATTCTTTTCTAAGCATCATCTAAGTCTTAAAAGGGAAGCGGTCCTTAGGCAAGGCACCCACAGGAAGGGAGATCTACCAGAAGACACTGCTGCCCAAGAATTGCCAAAGTCAAGACTGTGCAAGCATCCAAGTTCAAAATGCCAGGGGGCATCCAGGTGCCATAACATGAGGGGCCCAGGTCCAGGACCAAAGAGAAAACAGAGGCCTTGTGAGCGCCCAGGAATCAACTGTAGATTAGGACTTAGTATAACTTAGAGCTCTTGGTCTTAAGTGACCCATCAGAGATCTGTTAAGCAAAAATGGGGATTTATTTAAAGGTACAAGAACAGGGGTGAAATAAGGCCTCAGGAGATAGTAGGAATCAGGGCCCTAAACTCCATCAGAGCCTTCTATTCTCTTCCTTCTCTCCTCCTTTCCTCCCAGCTTTTTTCTGGCCCTTTTGGCAGAAAATACCAGCAGGGTAGCTCCCTGATTTACGTACTACACATCCATCTGCAAGAAGAGACACTGAACCACTTTCTCCTTCCTAGTTCCAGAGTCTCAAGGAAGTTGATCTGAGTGGCTCAGCTTGGGTCACACAACTGTAGCCCAAGGGACAACAGCATAGTTGTGTATTTGTGTACACTGTGCAGAAGGACAGGTGCCCTGAAAAGCAGAAGTTGTTCAGACAGCCCTATATGTGTTCAGTTCTGGGAGCCAAGAGTTGGGCTAAAATAATAAGCACAATCCCAAGAGAGTCAGAAGCAAATGAGTATGGACTGAATCTTGAGTGACCATCTAGAGCAGGTGGCCTGAGCGCTGGTCATTCCAAAGAGCCCAGTCTTAAGAAGTAGTCTGGAAAAAAAAAAAAAAAGGGGGTTTCTGGGCTTATATACACTTTGGAGATGCTGTAGTGCCATGTGTATCAGCATATGGACAACTCTGAGAAGTCCTGTGGGAAAAGACCTGTTTAAATCGTAACAATGCATACATGTGAGTTTGTGTATGAAGTCCTTCATACATGTGTGTTTGTGTATGAAGTCCTTCTTTTAGTGGAATATTGATAAATCATCCACCTTTCACAGTGTGTACTGTCCTTTACTAGTGATTTTTATGGGGGCTGGGATGGTCCATGAGTGAGTGGTCTTGATTTAAAGCAGTGTTTCCCAAGCCTCATTTATGTCTCTGACCTTCGCGGAGTTTGTCTTATATGTTCCCTCTGTGCCATTCCGTGATATTTTCATGTAAATCAATCAACCAACCCATCCTAAACAGTGACATCCTTAAAATCATGGATTTGATATGATGGTTAAATTTTTTTTCTCATACACATGGCAATATATACATAACGATTAAAATGAAAATGTCTGTACAGGCATTACCTATAATCTTCTCAAGTACTAAGGGTAGGTGGACCATATCATGGGGATACCAGATTAAAGTATCAGGAATCAGAGAGGGGTCGTGTGGGCTTGGGTAAGCCAACCAGCCTCGGAGCACTGCCAGCCACATATGCTGGCAGAGAAGTTCAGTCTGTGACAAGACGCCCAGATATCTGCATGTTTGTGCACGGGGACCATGCTTGGGATGCCATTTTGGTGTGTGTGTTCTGTTTTCATGCCTACCCAGATCTTCCTTGAAAATGAATGCAGATTCTCCCTGGCTTGGGAGGGTGGCAGTGGAGCAGTGGTAGGAAGCACTGTTATGCCTTAAGGCAGTCCTCAACTTACTTTGGCCTTACTGCAGCAAACAGGTAGGAGTTATATGCTTCACCTGGTGGCCTGGCACTGATTCTGAGATGGAAAGACTATGATGAAAGACACCAAAAGCAAGTTGAAACTGGTTCTGGCAACTTGTTTCAGAGAACTCCAAAGAATAACTTTGGAGTCAAGCAGACCTGAGTTTGAATCCAAAACTCAGCACTTACTAGCTGTGTGTTCTCAGTCAAATTTAAAAAACAAAAATCTCTTAAAATTGCACCATTATCACCATTATCCAGTTGAGGAAACTGGGGCTCAGAGAATTAAAGCAATTTGCCTGAGGTCACAGAGCTAATAAACAGCAGAGAAGAATTCAAAACTAGATTGGTTTGACTTCCGCATGTGTGGTCCTAACCACTGTATTACCCTGCTTTCATTCCCTCACTGATTGCACATCTCTTTTGTAGGATCTGCAGCTGGACGCTGGGGATCAAGTGCTAAGCAAGATAGACAAGGTCCTAGCCCTCATAGACCTGGCATTCAGTAGGGGAGAGAGACATAAAGTCACTAGTTACCCCCCTTAGTAATTTAATAACTTTGATAAGTGTTACAAAGGAAAAGGACACTATGAGGGGCACTTGATCTGGGTGGGGAAGGAGGAGTCAGGGAGTGTGGAAGGGAGAAAATGGTACTAAGATTGAGCTTTGAAGCATTCACAAGAATTAATTTTTCTTAATGAATTAAGAATTAAAGTGTTTACCACTAGATGTGATAGAGGTGATTTCAGTGGTCCATGGATGAACACTTTTTGTATTTTATTTGTAAATGATTTCATAGACATTATTATTTCATAGCTATTATTGCTTAGGATGAAGCTAAAGAAAGAAGAGGGATCAATTAAAATATTAAGTAATAATAGCGGAAGTGGTAATACATATGGAAAAAAATTCACAAAGGTCACACTTGAATTAAGCAGGTTATTCAGGATCTTGGCAGCTACTTTAAGAATTTTGAACTTCGTACTAAGATGAGGGGAAGTTTGCGGAAAGGGGATAATAGTTAGATCTGGTGTTGAAAGAGCACTTTGTCTACTGTTGCAGAGCAGCTTGTGAGAGAGCCAGAAAGGAAGTAGGGAACCCTGTTAGGAATGTATTGTAAGAATTCAAGCAGGAGATAATGCAGACTTCACAGGTGTGTGGGCGGGGGAGAGAGGATTGAAGAGATGCAATCAGTTGGACTTATGAGAAACGGAGAGGAAGATGTCCAGGGTGGAGCTTTTCTAGCTGGGTGGCGGAGGAAGATGGTGAGTTCAGCCTTGGAGAAGCTTGTGAGGTATCCAAATGAAGATGTCAGGTAGGTTAGTAGGTTACGTATCTCTGACACAGTTTAACTTTAGTAAAATAGGCGACCTCACGGAGCTATTGTGTGAATTCAGAGCGGAGTACACAGTAGATGCTCCATAAACGGCAGTTCTTTCTCCAATTCCTCCCCCCTACACCCCATAGCGCGTTATGGACACAGCCGGGTACAGAGCCAGGTCGTGTTTACTCCGCGATCTGATTCCCTTTGGCCCCAACTCCTCTCCTTAGCACAATTCCTGGCTCAGGGATGTTTGAAGAATGAACGAATGAAATCAGGCCTCTTGTGATCCAGGGCTACATGTACCCGGCTGAAAACTGGAGCTAAGCCAGACCTTTCGCGGGTTGAAAAATTAAAATAAATTTTAAGAAGTGGGCGTGAAATCATCCATAAGTTGGAAGGCCTGGACAAAGGCTGGGGTGGAAGCTCCTCCCGCCAAGCAGCGTCGGGGTCCGGTTAGCGAGAGAAGAATAGCTGGTGAGAGCTCGGGGCCCCTGCTGCCAACGTATTTGCAGCTCCCGGGAGATCTCGGACCGGGCCCTGCCGCTGTCCCGCGGCGGCCTTTAAAGGCCCACCACGTGGCCGAGCTGCCGGCCCCAGTCCGGAGGCGGTGTCCGGGCTGCGCCTGCGCACTGCCTAGGGGCGGGATCTGGGATCCGAGAAAAGGAGCTGGGAGAGGAAGAGAAGATTTCACAGGGTGGGCGGCCGTGGGCGGAGTCAGCTCCTTATGCAAATCACATCGGCGCGCGAGGGCTAGGGGCGGGGCTTGCGATGCAAAGCCGGGTCCACCCTTGGAAGCACGAGGGGGCGGGTCCCGCAACCCTCGGCCTCCTTCCGGAATCTCTGACGTCAGGGACGTCGCATTTAAAAGCGGCCGCGCAGGCGCAGTGAGCCGAAATGCGAACTTAGGCTGTTACACAACTGCTGGGGTCTGCTGTCGCCACCAGGCCGGCAACAGTCAGCCTCGCCGCCGCTGTCGCCGCCTCAGCCGTTCCGGGAGTCTCAGGCCCTCCCCGCCGCCCTTTACCCGCGTCTCCGGGAGCCTCCCGGACCCCCAGTCCGCCCGAACAGGCCGGCCGCGACCGTCTCTACGTCTCCTCGGCGCCCCTCACCGCCCGCCGCGCTCGCCGCCTGAGCCGTTCCGGGAGTCTCAGGCCCGCCCCGCCGCCCTTTACCCGCGTCTCCGGGAGCCCCCGTCCGCCTGAACAGGCCGGCCGCGGCCGTCTGCGACTCCTCGACGCCCCTCGCCTTCCGCCGCGCTCGCCGCTCCGGCCGACATGAGTGGGGACCATCTCCACAACGATTCCCAGGTACTGCCCTGCCCGGCCCGGCCCGCCCGGGCCCCCGGCCCCGCCCCGCCCCTCCACGACCCCCGGCGCAGGCCCCGGCCTCGGCCGGGCCGCCGCTTTGACAGGCCGGAGCCCCCCGCCAGGGGTGGCCGGCCGGAGGAGATCGGCTCCCCGGGCCCCGGGCGGGAGGCGCCAAGTTACAGTTTTAGGGGGGTTGGCTGACCCTTCAGGCCGTTCCCGGGGCCCCCTTATCCCGGGGGGCGCAGGGTGGGCCCGGCCCCCGGCAGCGCGCGCTCGCCCGCCGCCCGCGGGGTGAATGTGCCTGTTGTTTCATAGTCCCTCCTTTTCTCTCCCCAGATCGAGGCGGATTTCCGACTGAATGGTGAGTGTGCCCCCTCCCCGACCCCGGTCCCCCCGACCGCCGGCCCCGCGCCCGGCCCGAGCCGGGCAGAGGACAGACATGGCGTCCCAGAGACTAAGTCCCGGCTCCTCGCTCACCGGCCCCATTGTTCCCATCGGGCCGCCTCTGGACCCCCTTTCCGGGGACCCCAGCGCCCCCAGATCGCGGCCCTCCCAAGAGGGGGCAACGGAGACCCCGCGTCGCCCGCCGCCGGGCCTCTGGCAGTCTTTCCGGGCCCGGATTCCTCCCGGGAAAGTCGCCTTGTCGACAGTCGGGACTTAGTCTCTGCGCCATTTTCTTTTTCTCTCTCCTCTCCTTTCTGTGTCTATGTCTCTTTCTCTCCCTCCCTTGGCTCCTTCCTTGAGCTGCCCAGAAAAAGCTTTCTGCGGAGCAAAGCCACGTAAATCACAGACCTCACCAGGGGGAAGGTTGGGAGCCTGAATTGTTACTGTTTTTTCCCAAAGAGAACTTTATTTGGGGTGTTATTCCCTCTTACTGCTTCTTGTTTGTTTCCTTTTCTGCTTTCAGAATGAAAGATACCCTTCGGCAACTGTTGATTTTTTTTTTTTTTCCTCCCTTTCTCTGGTAAGATGTTTATGGTAGGAAATAGGGCTCTAAAGCTAAAGCCCTCCTTTGTGGAGTTCTTTATATTTTGAGATTGCTTTCCCCAAGTTGTGTTCTTTGCAAAGGTAGTGGTACCTGCCTTCAGAAAGTTTGCAAGTTCTCTGTTGGCCATCCATTGTAAATGTTGGGCTTAGGCATGTTGATTTTTTTTTTTTAATTAAAGTATTACTGACTAGAACTTCAGTGGGGCTGAGGTTCCTAAGGCACTGTTTTTTTTTTTTTAGAAATGCAGTTTAGTGTAGTTGTCAGGAGGAAACGTTGCTGAGCATCTCATCTGGCCTGGTGTATTAGGCATTTCTCGTAAGCTGTGGGGTAGAAAAAAAGATTTTATTTATTGAAACAAAGATGACCAGCACCACCCCTGCTTCCTGTTCATTCTTTTTCAGAAGCCTCTGTTTTTCAGGAATCGAGAGCTAGCTTGCTTTTGCCTGACCTTTATGTTTTGTACCCTTTTCAGCCAAATCAAGGCATTTATTCTTTGAGTATTTCCACTTCAGTTACCGAGTGAAGATTCCCCCAATAGAAAACTCACCCTGCGAGCTTTTCAACAATCCTGTTGAAGGAGAAGGTACCTTCTGTAGTGTGCTGGGAATTCCCACTGATTCTGATGGTACATAATCCTGCTCAGTTGAGTTTGGGTTCTGGGAACCTATCCAGTGGGAGAAGCTGATGACTAGGTTTTCTGATGTTGTAATCAGCAGTCCATCGTGTTAGCCTGCTCTACTGCGAGCAGCCTTATGTTCAGATTTTGAAGTAGGGCATCCAGCAAGGGATGGTACTCTGCGAGGAGAGAATCTGGTTAAAGTGTAGCATTTCTTGAGCACCTAATATATGCCAGGCACTGTGCTTAGTGCTAGAGCTGAACCTTTGGCCACAAAGTGCTGCTCTTGCCTTCAGTCTATGTGGGGGAGACATAATTAGTTAATTACAAGGTAGGTGCTGGGGCAAATCTATACCCAAAATGCTTTGGGTGACTAGGGGATTTAATTTTGTCTGGGGGTGGGGAAATTTCTCAGAGGAGGTAGCTTTTGGGCTTGCTTGTGCAAGACTAGGTGCTGAGTGTCAAGAGTTGGAGTATTTCTTAACTATGTTTAGTCAACCTATCAGGGTTTTAAAAGCGGGAGATGAGGCCCCTGCTGTTCAGAAAACCGCAGAGTGTAGATACGTTTCTTTGGGATGTGGGAGCAAAGAAAGGATGTGGCAGGTGAGGATGTAAAAGTCCTTTTGACCTCTCTTGGAGGAAGGTAGGATCTTAATACAGAATAAGTGTTTTTTGACTCTCAGACTGGGCTGAGTAGGTAATGTATCTAGTAATGAAACAAAGTGTAGTCCTTTCTCCTCAGAAAGTTAACCTCCATGGTTCTCACCTAGGTTATACAAAGGAACTGTTGAATATGTGAATGATTGTAGGCTGGGTAGGTTATTGCTCTTTAGTGCCATTTTTTAGAGACTGAAGTAAACTGGCTTTATTGACTTTTAGAATGTGTTTTTTCACTTGTAATAGCAATAATTGCTGATATTTATTGAATGTTTACTGTCTATCAGGCATGAATCTCAGTTCTTTCCATTGGATCATCTAGTTTAATTTAATCCTTGGAAGAACCCTTATGAGTTGGGTACTATTATCTCCATTTCCATACATAAGGAAACTGAGCCTTAGGTATATTTACTAGCTTTCCCAAGGGCAGTGAGTTGGCACTACAAAGCTCACAAGCTTAGCCACTATGCTATATATGATTCTAGTATGAAGAAATTAAAAGCTGCCTCATCTCTGCTTTCTTACAGAGCTGAAAAAGGCAAGAGGGAGAGATTTGATAGTTTGTTGTTTGCTTTTTATCTAAACCTGCTCCCAAAAGAAAAAGCACTTTAACTGCTTCCCCACCACACTGAGGGTCTGACAGTGGAGTATTATCTTTGTAAATATTGTCTAGAAGAAAGATGTAGTATTAGTAGCTGTTTGCTTGCTCTATTAAGTAATACATTAGTAACTAGTGATTGATTTATGTAACTATGAAAGAGTTTTTAAAAGATAAAAATCAATGTTTAATTATGCTCAGACAAGTTATTGTTGATCTTTGTATTAAGAGTTTGCTTAAGCATGATTTTAAGTGGACCTAAACCCATCTTACAGATGAACTGTGCCAATAATGTTAAAACAAAACTCCCTCATTTGCCTGCCCTCATCCCCTAAGAGCTGAAAGATTTTTTGCCTTTGGAGTTCATTCTTTACAATAGTTAGAACTGTTACTGTTCGTATAGAATTTAGAACATTCCAGCCCATACTCAACTGCTGGGAAAAATCTGTTATTTGTGAAATGTGTGTATATTTAAAGTATTGCTGGGAGTTTCAGGAGCAGAAACCATAATCTCTTATACCTAAGAGAAAAGGCTTCTTTTTCTAGGTGTTGGTAGCACTCATTGAAGTGGGGCTGAGTCATTAGCCCAGTACTGTGCAGACTACTGAATTATCTGTAGTGTTGATAATGGTAACATCAGGTTGGGGGTCAGTGGTCCTATTGCTGTTTCAAGAGCTTGATGTTTTTGTCCATCTACTCTGGAGTAGTAGGGTTCTTTCTTCCCTGGCATGAGTAATGTATAATGCTTGGTTTCATCAGTGATTATTCTCAGAAATGTTACATGGGTTCATTGTTTGGCATTATCTTGTGTTGATTCTAGTAGCTTAGTGGATTCAAACGGGATGATGGAATTAAATATGAATTGTTTCTGATGCTAACAGATAGTTATACTTCTGTGCTGTTGGGCACTGGTTGGGATGGCAGGTGGGAAAACTAATGATGTGGCTATCTGAAAATTCCCATCACATTTTTAAAACCAAACTGATGGCACCTTCAAATGAAATCTGGCACGTCTTCCTACTCCATCCAGAAACACTTAAACTCTGGGCTCCAGTGTTGTCCTTCCTTCCACTGCAGCCAGATTTCTTGGGGGCACCTTTTCAGAATTAGTGAGCTGCTGTAGAATCTTTATAGATGAAACGGAGTTGCTTGTCAACATGTGCTTTTTAGATTACTAGCATGTCAGAACTCACAAACAAATTTTAGATTCCGACGTTACCGGTAAAACAAGAAGATCAAGTAGTTACTAAATCAGAAATACCTCATGGTTTAAAAAGTGAAAACTGGATAATATTGCTTGCTATAATTAACTCATACTTGTCTTTGGTAAGTAGATAAAGTAAAATGGAAAATAGGAAGTCAGGGTCAGTTCCAAAATCTCATTTTAACCAACAGTAGCAAAAAAAGAATTGAGTCTGGCTTTTTTCCTTTAACATCAGCATAATAATGGGGAATTGTGAGAATTTGAAGAGAGATTCATTAGTTTGTTCTAGGTGAGTCAGTATCCATTTATACAAGTGCCAGGGATTCTTAACATGTCTCAAGCTTATATTCTAAAATGAAGCTGTTGGGGGTTTTTGTTTGTTTTCGGCGTGTGTGGGGGCATGCAGAAAACATGGCTGACTTCTGAGCTTGTGAATATGTGTTGTATGTTAATCACAGTAACAGTTACCTGTTGCTGCCAATGGTATTGGACGTGATTCTGTTGTGCTTTCTGGGTGTATTTCATTTTAGGAACTTTCAGACATACTTCAGTTGTTCATGTTATTTCCTAGTAGTTGGGTATGAGTGCATACGTATGTTATTGGTCTTTAACAGCTTTTGCCGTACTTACAGTGCAGAATACTGATTTTCTTCAAACCCAAAGTTATTTCTCCAGAAGTGTTTTGTGAGGGATTGCGTGTTTTTCATATGAAACTATGTTGAACTCCAATAAAGTTCTAGGTTCACTGGGAAAAATGGATTCCAATGTAATTATTTACTTTTGAATGAGGCTATGGAAATGCTTGAAATGAGTATTTGATGTGGGATCCTGAGTTTAAAAACTGTCTTGAAAGAAAGGTAAAATATGGTCCATTCATTGCATTTGGAGACGGAAGAGAGTCAGTTCACTAACTTTTCTGAATCCTGTGGTTAAGGTTACCTGACTGCCGCTTAATTATTTTTGAATTCATTAACTTTGCGAAATGAGGGCATTTGGGCAAGCAGTTGAGAATTTGGCTTCTTAAGGTAAAAAGTTTGGGATGGGAGAAGTTCCCAACTGGCCCTTTAGAAATGAATGAGATATTGTGTTTAAAGGAGGCTTTTAGATTGTCTTTAAACTTTGAGTAGTAATAGTTGGAACAAGTCTTTTCTGTTTCCATGCCTTGTAAATCTGAAGTTTGTGAAGCAGCTTTCCATCCCCATGGCTTCAGGCCAGTAGCTAAAGTAGGAAATGTAAAATAGAGGCCATCGGTATGGAAGACGTAGCATTTGCCAACCTTTGCCCTTCCCCCACCACCT